AGCGGGTACAAACACAAGCCAGGATCTCAATTACATCTCTGAACTTGAGCAAGCGGCAATGTACAAGAACAACACCACAAGGGGAAAGACGGCGGTTAGAATCCTACCACAAAACAGAGACATCTACCAAACTGTGTCATGTCATGTGCACTGGAATTTTGAAGGCTGATATTATGAGGCAGGCCAAAGACAGTCACATGGAAGTGGAAGCTTGTCACAAACTGACTGATAGCCAACTAGATAAGCCAATTACTACAGCCATGCAAGATCTAAAATAGGATGCCCACTCCTTGAGCTGTTCTATATCTCATGGTTTGTGTTCAGAGATAAAATTAAATGGATCCTGCAGCATCAGGTTCATCTGCCATCAAGGGGTTATATACTTATATATGCTGGGCAGCCATGGAGTTATCACCAAGACTCACCATGATGTTGCACCACCGGAGCATTTTGCAAGTGAAGGTCAGAAAAAGTGAGGTCAAGCATTGTTTGCTAAAACAATATCACTGAACAGTGGTGAATGTGAAACAATGGGATTTCAGCTCTAACTGATGCCACCATCAAAGATGGAACGGGATTGAGTTGGTTGTTAGCTACTAGGAGTCATTGTTCCAGGCCAAATATTTACGCAAGACAAACAGACTCATAAAAATACAAATCTCCTTGCACCGCGATATTGCATACAGACTGCTATATGAGACAAGACGAGCACGTGGATTTAATAGCACACCATGTTGAACATTTTGCTAATCTGTAGCGAAGCATTTTCAAACAACAACCATCATAATGAACTTGTTCATTTGAGATTAAAAAAAATAAAGTATCTTAGCTTCAACACCTTGCCAATAACAACATGAGACCTATAAATATGTGAAGATCAACATACTACTACTTGTCTAGGTGATTAAAACAACTTCACTGCAAAATGACATATATGTGCAGGATGTTTCTATGTAGTTCCCCAAGAAGCCATAGATTAGTTCTGCTCTATCAAATTCACACTTGGTATCAACCCAGTATTCTTAAATTACTTCCATATGTTATGTGCTGAAAAGGTTACAATAGATTTTATAAAAAGATTAAAACATATATTAAAATTTACATGCATCATCAAACAAGAAAAACAAATAATAAATAACATGGTATACCTTTGTTAGCTTCCTTTGTTTGAGTTTCACCTTAACATCGACTCCATTATCACCTTCACAACGATGTATCCCGAAGTTCACACCCTTGCGGATGCTAATCTCCGTTTGGAGTGGTGTGGAGGCACAATGCTCCCCAAAAATGCCACTAGGGCCACCATAATCTCCGCACGCCCTCGCACGATACAAGATGTCGTTATTCCACTAAGGGAGCCTTGAGAGCGGTCACTGAACCCGTACAAATGACAAACCTTAGGGGGCAGTCACCAAACCCATACACTTTGGTAACCCTTGGGGTGTTTACCGGAACCCGTAGAAATTGCTCGTGGAAATCTCCACAACTTAATTGAAGACCCCAACGCTTGTCCCGGTGCTTTCCACCACAATGATTGAGCTCCGCAACACCGCCAACCGTCTAGGGCGCCCAAGCACCCAAAAAGGAACACTCTCTAGGGTACCAAGCACCCAAGAGTAATAAGCTACTCAACTCTATGCACCGAATGCAATGGCAAGGGAACACAGAGTGCCCAAGTCCTTCTCTTCCAAATCCCACCACAACAACTAAAGCTATGAAGGAAAATGAGAGGAAGAATGAAGAAGAGAACACAAAGAACTCCAAGACGTAGATCCAAGGGTTCCCCTCACATAGAGGAGAAAGTGATTGGTGGAAATGTAGATCTAGATCTCCTCTCTCTTTTCCCTCAAAAACAAGCAAGAATCATTGGAGGGATTGAGAGAAAGCAAGATCGTAGAAGGTCAACAATGGGGGTAAAACACGAGCTCAAAAGATTAGGTCCATTAGGAAAGAAGACCCCCTTTTATAGGTAGGGACAAATCCAACCGTTATGCTCTCAGCCCGCACACAAGCGATACTACCGCTTGGGGCGGTAGTTCGAGGTGTAGCACTGAGAGAACGCAAGTTTAGGTGCGGTAGTGCTGACAGAACGGTACTACCGTCCTCACAAGCGTCACTACCGCCAGGACACAGAGAACCAGCGGTAGAAGCGGTACTACCGCACCCTACTATTGCTCTACTACTGTGGAGGCTGCAAGGGACTACAGAAGCAAGGAGATAGGCGGAAGTGTGACGGTAGTCGCCAGTGGAAGAACCACGACAAGTGGTACTATCACTGGCAGGTGCGGTGCTACCATCTAAAACGGTACTAGCGTGCCCAATTGTCGTCCTACTGCCGCTGAAGCGAAAACGAATCCAATAGTCCACAAACAAGCGGTAGTGCCCGCAGCAGGGGACCAAAAAAGTACCGTGCAAGCGGCACTACCGCTACCCACTAGAGTGTAATAAAATAGCCTACGCAAAATTAATGGATCCAAGAAAACCAGAATTGCCATAACTTCTTCAAATGAGCCCCGAATACATCAAACTCGAGCTTGTTGGATAGATGACGACAAATACTATCAAATATAGTAAGAAGTTGCAGGGGGTATGCCTATGATATAGAGGTGTGAAACCTCCATTAGTGAAGAACCGACATAAACTCCAATATGGAAAACATCATAGAAGATGCATATGAACTCTGTTTTCGATGAACTCGAGCTTGTCATGAAGATGACCATAAGCTCTAAAACTCACAAAGAGAAACACCAAACAAGAACTAAGAAAGCTGATAGAAGGATGCAATGGTTTGAGCTCTCTATGGACGATATGATCAAGCCACTCACTTGAGAGCCCCCCCCCCTTGATAGTACGGCAATCGATCCTATAACTCGGTCTCGCAACTACCACCATGAGACCGGCAGAATAGAAAACCTATCAAGGGCAAACATTTGCCTTGCACATAGTCACTTGAGCTAGATGATGACGATCTTGACTTCCTCAAGTTGGACCACCTTTCTTGATTGCGTTGGCTCGATGAAGACTAGTTGATTGTTCCCACATACTCCACTATGGGTGAGCCACTCATCGACACATCTTCACAAGTCCATTGTCACCATAATGGACGGTAAGCTTCAAGCATGATCTCTTCGTGATGCTCCACTTAAACTTGCACACCGCAATCTTGATGACGATCACCAGTTGATGTCATCCACCATGGGATGTATGAGATCTTCCCCTTGACGCAAACCCATGAAAACATACCTAACCTCACATAGAACTCTCACGTAGACCATGGGTTTGTACACAAAGTGTAATGGACAGTGCTTACCATACCATGGGATCACTTAATCCTTCTCAGTACATCTTGTACGCTTTGTGTGTTGATCAACTTGATTCACTCTTTGACTTAGTTTTGATCAACCTTGTATCATCCTCTCTCTGACCAATCTTTAGATAATTCCTTGAATAGCACCTTAGCCATCACATATAACTCAACGCAACCATTAGTCCATAAAGATTGCCATCAATTACCAAAGCCAAACATGGGGGCACCATGCTCTTTCAGCATTGTTGCCGCGCTTGGAGAAGCATGTGTCGTACTGGTATTTGCGCAAGCACCATACGACTAAAATGCACCGATACAGATAAGTATCAGGCCAATACACCTTTTGTATCACTGGGAGCTACATGCACATGCAATTTCAATACCTTCCTAGCATATATATTGAAACATAAATTAATTTTAACTTCAAACCCAGAAAATGAAACCTTGTGTAACATTGCTAGTGAGCTTGACTAGGTGAAAACCCAAAGAGTGATTGACTTGTCTAACGCGAAACACATAACTGCATGAGAAATTGTATGAATAAACAAGAAACCAACAATTTCTCTTGTGTCCACAGTAGCAAATCTGAGCAAAAGTTACAGAAAGGCTTGCAGCATAGCATAACATGAAAGGTGGAACCTGGAGATTAATAACCTAACATGCAAAAGGAGAAACAACCCAAAAACATTGCCGACCAATGCTCCTTCTCTTCCAATGCAAGTTTTTCGCAATGGCAAAATAATGAAGATACTAGCAGGTCATTGTTTCCCTCAAGTTTTGGTCTCCTGACATCATTGATCTACTAGTGACGGCGATGAGCTGTTGGAAGATATCATCAGGTTCTCGCTACCTCTACAACACTTGATCCAATGCCGACAAAGGGCATGTGAGGGCAGGTGTTGGCGGATCTGTTGGCTCTCTTCAGATCTTAAAAATTAGTGTGTTAATCAAGTGAAGTAGTTGGCGGGCTGTTGGTGCGGCGACTTGGACCGATGGTGAAGCATTGCAAGCAGGTGCTCCGTGAGGTGATGCTTCAACTATTGTTTCTTGAGCGGTTACTAGATCTCGTGTCTATTGGCGAGTGCCTATGACGGCATTTATAAATAAATCCTAAAATGGTGACAGCTTTTTCAATTGCATCTTTCTGTTTTTTGTTTTGTTTTTACTGCTGGTTAAGTGCAATTTTCATGCATAGGCGGGCGCAGTATCAGTAAGAACATGAGATTCTCAATCAGTAGCCCACGTGAAATCCTAGCATGAGAGTCAATCAATAGCCCACGTTATAGATCCGACGGTGCATGATATGAGTTTTCAAAGTTTTCATTGAGTCGTCCGCTTTCATGTTATACTTTTTTTACCTCCCACCATACCACGAGAAGAGAAGAGAAGAGAAGCAAAGGCCGACTTGTCAACAAAACCAACATGCACTTTCTTAGTCCAAAAAAGCATGCAGCGTGTGTCTCTGCATTTTATTACTTGTCGCTCGGTCAACAGCACGCCCTGACACGGCCCAGCTACGACGAAACACTCACCGCGCGACAGCCGTCGATCTACCGATCTGGCGGACAATCGTCGCGGCAACAAGATTACAAGAGTGGAAAGCCTCCCTGTCCCAGTCAAACCAACTACACCTGGAAAAAAACCGGGCTGGACCTGCCGAGCGCCGATGATGACCGACCTAGCTGGCTGGACGTTACGAGCCGCCGGCGCCGACGCCGTCGTACTTGAGCCCGAACTCGCGGAACCTGATCTCCATGTCCGCCGCCGCGACGAGCAGCTCGGCCGCCTGCGCCGGCTCGAGGATCTCCACGGCGCGCTTCATGGTGCGCAGCCGCAGCGCGTCTGCCCCGGCCAGCACCGCGCCGACGCGGCCGACGAGCCCGCCCACGTCCACCAGCTCCCCGCCGGCGCCCACCGCGCCGTGGCCCTCCTGCACCCGCGCCATCTCCCGCGACAGCTCGTCCTCCTGCGCCACGGTGCGGCGCTGCAGCTCGTCGATCTGCGCCAGCTGGGCCGGGCTGAGGTCGCCCAGGTTGCCCGACCGCACGCCCAGCAGGAGGTCCGGGAGCTGCGCCTCGAAGCGGCTGCCGGACTCGGTGTAGAGCAGGTGGACCAGCGTGGTCGGCCGCCACCCGGCCAGCCAGTGCGCCGCGCCGCGCTCCACGGGGCTCGCCCACGGCGCCGCCAGCGTCCACACCGGGTCCAGCTCCGCCCGCGCCGCGCAGTAGTCGGCGAAGTGGGACACGTAGCCGGCTACCAGCTTGGCGAGCTGCGCCGGGTCGTCGGCCCAGCGCGCCGTCCGGAGGTCGCGGCGGAGCGACCGCAGCCCGCGGAGCCAGAGCTGGAAGCGCCGCGTCGCCGCCTCCAGCTCCATCGTCCGGTTCTCTCCCTTTTCTTCCCAGGCAGGGGTGGTACAGTGAGCTTGCTCGCGCGCGTGCCGGCGGTACTTATAAATGGCGGCGGGGTGATCGGGGCCGTTGAACGGGAGGAAGCGACGGCTGCGGGCGCGGGCCGCCGGGGCGTATGAGGCCGCGACAGGTGACCCGCATGCAGGAGGCCATGTGTGGTGGCCGGGTGGCGAGGTGGCGATGGACGGCGACGTACGGCGTCACGCTCACGCCTAGATGAGCCGCGGGACAAAGCGGCTGGATGAGGCTGACAAGGGGCCCGGCGTGCCAGTGGACGCATGTCCTAGTATATGTCGTTCGGTACCTAACCAATGCATCATGTGCGGTTGCCATGTTAAAAACAAATGTGAAACAAATGATGTGTGGAGGGGAGAACTTAAGAAAACGGTGCCTAATTTTTTCCAGATGAGATAGTGTTTAGTTTTGAGGTAAATACGCTAGTGGTGCTTGAACTTGTCATGAATGTTTATTTTAGTGCTTGAACTTAAAAAATACACCGAACTGGTTCTAAAACTTGGCATGAACGTACAAATACGATACTAATCCTATCTGTAGACATAAAGTGCATCCATGTGTCACCGTATATGGATGAGGTGGCACTGACATGATGTGGGGCCCACCTGTAGCTAGGAAACATAATTATTACTTCAGTACTATATACAACTCTATAACTAGTGGGCCCACCTGTCAATACATTAGAAAAATTAATATGAAGAACGAAAAAATGCGACAAACAGGAATCAAACAAGCAACCGGATGACTGCCAGCTAGTTGCGCTAGCCACTATACCAACCATGTACTTATTATTAAAATAGGCCACTCAATTTATATGTAGTTTAACTAAAAGTCTTGTGCCCATAATTTGGCTGCAGCCAGTGACCCATTTTGCACACGTTATTTTTTCAAAAAAAGTTGTGAAAAGCATATTATTACTAATCATAATAATAAATTGAAGATTCAAATATTCATGTGTCGGTAATAATTACGTCATGCTACACAAATATCTGTGTGCACAAAAAGTAAATATGTAGAGGAGTTTAATAAAATAACATACAAAAAAATGTTCATGTAAGTTTTACAAATATTGACTTATTATTTAGAATATTTTTTAACTATAATACATGAGTGTTTAAAAATATTTGTAAATTAATTTTTTTTAAATATGTGAATATTTATTCAAACCTTTGAATAATTGAGTGAATATTTACAAACAGTAATCTAAAAGAAATGAATGATTTATATTATACAAACATTGCTATAATTCTTATATACTATTTCATGATTGTATATTTTAAATATCGTATATCATTGTTAAATATAATCCATGACTGTGTATTTTTAATATTTGTTTACAAACAGGTTGAAACACTCATATATTATATTTAAAAATAGTATTTTCCAAAAAATTAGTTAATATTTCTAAAACTAAGTTTTTTATCGCATACCTCTATATATTTATTTTGTGTGCACACCGATATTTGTGTATAATGAGGTAATTATTAATAACACATGAATATTCGAATCTAACTTTTATTATTATGATTATTATTTACATTTAAAAAAATGTATGCAACATGGCCACTGGCTGCAGCCAATTTATGTACATAGGAGTTTTTTGTTTAAGTACATAAAATCTGAGGGACTTTCCATGTCAGCAAAATATGTTGGTTGGAGTGGCTAGCGCATGCATCGCCCAAGGGGCAGGCAGCAGATTCGATTCATGCAGTCTATTTTATGTTATTCTTCCTAATTACTGACAGGTGGGCCCACTACTCATGGAGTCATATAGTGCTTAAGCATTTTTATTTCGTAACTACGAATGGGCCCCGTGCCATGTCAGTGACACGTCAGCCATATACATTGTCACGTTGATGCATATTACGTCTACAGACAACATTAGCACCGTATTTGCCCGTTCATGCCAAGTTGTAGAAGCAGTTCGATGTATTTTTCAAGTTTAGGCACCAAAGTGAACATCCATGACAAGTTTAAGCACCACTGGTGTTTTTACCTCGTTAGTTTTCTAAAATGCGGTTTATGGAGGCGGCGATGAGTCTACAAGGAAATGGGAAGAAAAAATATATATGTGTTCGTAATTATGCAATTGTCTGCGATTTTTGGGTGGGTCGGTCAAATCACGTGTAGCCCCAAGTCCAAGACGGGGACGTCACGGTGTAGCATCATCGATGAGGCGAGCTACACCATGCCAGAAACGGGTACGAAGCGGCTGGTCTCATCGTCACCAGTAGGTCTGGCGAAGGGGTCACTGGTTTGGATAGTGGGTAGGGTTGCTCGCCGATTTTGGAGAAGAGGCGTGCGTGACGGCATCTCCGGTGGCGGGTGGTGGGAGCAGACGTTTTGGCCAATGTCGACAGGGGTTCATTGCGGTCGTAGGAGGAAGAAGGGTTCTTAGCTCTTGGATTCCGATCAAAAGGTGAAGATTGATTTGACTAAACCCGATTCTTTTAGGGGCATGCCAACTAGTTATTCCTTTAGCGTGTCTTCAATCTGATGATTGATTGATTATTATCGTTGAACAACACGATATAGAATGACACTAATGGCGCACCAGACATATGGTGTGCCACTACTATATACTAATGGCGCACCATGTGTTGGTGCGCCATTAGTGTGGAAGACACTAATGGCGCACCAGACACATGGTGCGCCACTAGTAACATTTTTTTCCAACATACTAATGGTGCATCCAGGCACAGTGCGTCATTACTAGTTCTAACTAGTAATGGCGCACCAGCCACCAAGTGCGCCACTACTGTATTTTTTTTTTTGCAAAACTACTAATGGCGCACCGTGGCATAGTGCGCC